CAGCTGTCATCTTGTTCTGTTGGTAGTCGCTTGTCAATAGGAATAAAGAATTAAACCAATGATCTCTCTCTCTCTCTCTCTCTCTCTCTCTCTCTCTTTCCTTCCTTCTGGAGCATTCATTTGTGTTTAATTTTTATTCTGCTGTGCATTTCAGATATTCCTGCATATATGCTCCTTCTTAGAGGCGTCGACGTTAGTACACAATTTGAGCCTAGTGTGCAAACAATTCTACCTGATTTTAAAGGATGACTCATTGTGGAAAACCCGCATTAACCATATATGGCCGGATGCTAGCTATCCGATCTTGCGTCCCGGTTAGCTCAAATTGATAGCACCTTACGCCTTGCACGACCACTCTCATTTTGTTAATAAATAAAACACTACTCTCACTCTATGCCTGTTGGCTGTTCAAACATGCGCATGCATGTAAGCCGAAGTAGTAGGTTATTTACATTGAATTTTATTTCGTAGCATTTTGTCTTGAAAAATAAGCGTGTTCAAAAAATTATATATATATATATATATATTATTTTTTTTTTAATTTTATTTATGAAAAATCATGTTGAACAAGTTTGAGCAGCTCCGTTTGTTACGATCAGATATGCGTGAAAAACTTGAATAGATTTCTCAATTAAGACTGTACTTATAATTTATTTTTAGTATGTATGTGCATTTTTTTTTACTTTATAATACGAATAAGCTTTCTTAATATTTATATCATATAAGAAGTGACGTATCGTTGCAGCGAAACCCGACAAGTTGTTTTGGAAATTGTCATGCGTTGCGATCGAGAAACAAACAGCGTTGTGGAAACAGCAGGATTCCATGGAGAAATTTATCATCGCGAACGCACAGTACAGCACGATAGACGCTTTGCTACTGATGCACGTAGGTGGTACATCGTAAATCTAAAAATCACTCCTCTTGTATGATATCACTTCTCTTGTAAGAAATAATATAATGATTTTAATTTCTAGGGTGGAACCACTTGTATAGCTGGTGCGAGAGATCGCACCCTGGTTTATTGGAAACTGCCCTCTCACGAGAAACTGCCCTCTCACGAAATCGGAAACTCTGTCTGCATAGATTCCGCGCATAACGGATGGATCTGGGACTTGACGGCGATAGACAACACGATCTACAGTTGCAGTTGGGATCAAAGCGTCAAATCGTGGATGCTCATCAACACCGGTCTCGTCCAGCAGAGAACTTACGAAATGTACGCCATGGCAAAACTATTTATTTCGATCGTTTCGCGATAGAAAGATTGAGGGAGAAGGATAATTCCTGTTTGTGAGAAAAATAATTATCATCCAAATTATTCGAATACGTGGACATCGCATTCTGTATCTTGCCAATCAATCTTAAGATTCAAAAACGCAATTCTAAAGTTCACTCGCCGGTTGAAATTATTGCAATATTAGTATTTCGTACGTTTCTAATCAATGTCAAATATTCCAGGAGTGTGCCGGGTGCGTTGCTGTGCGTGTCATCGTGTCCGGAGCGGGCTCTCTTTGCGACCGGCTCGTACAGCAGGACCATATTCGTGTTCGACTCGAGATCGGGACAGAAGCCGATCAGGCAGTATCGGCCGCACACCGGAGCTGTGATTAAGCTGGGCATGAACTCGGAATACATTCTGTCCGCCAGTGAGGACAAGACGATATCCGTTTGGGATCAAAGAGCCGGGCGGACCATGAAATCAGTCACAGTAATTTCACTCCGTATTTTCAACGTTTCAAGTGGAGAAACGACGGTCACGATATCGCTGATATATCTCTCAGATTTCAGACGACGCGTTTCCCATGTGCATGAGTATGCAACGAGACTGGGTTTGCGTAGGCGATAGTACCGCGAGGTTGCACGTGCTGAACCCGAAGAACGACTTCGAACTGGTGAAATCTTACTCCACTGAGCATACGAAAGGGATAACGGGGGTGCATCTGACGCATGGATGTCTGATAACGAGTTCTACGGATGGCACCGTCAGAATTTCGAGTCCTACGGATCCGCCAAAGCCCATCGTTACTTTGCTATCAGGATTCGGAGAGATCGCTAGTGTGAGTGTTACAAGCGTGTAAAATTCGCAAAACACATATAGGATCTTGTACATCATGCACATTACATTGTACATTATTTTTAAGATTGACATTATTAGGGTTTAATATCTCTTCACTTTTTGTTTTGCAGATGGATTATTTAAACGGCATTCTCGCGATATCCGGCATCGATATCGCAGTGTGGCGCCCGAAATCAACGTGTTCAACGAAACATCAATGAAGAGAGATTTCTATACATGTTCTATAGCTATTCTATAGCTATATTGCTATGTAATATATATTCTTAGTTTTTACTGAAAAATTATTCTAATGCCTCTCTAATATATTATGTAATATATTATAACGTTGTAAATATATAACCGTGAAATTAATATATCGATTCGTTGAAAGTTTGCTTTAATTGTTAAAGCTTTGCTAATATTGTTTATACTTAGTAAGCTTACCGACAATTGCAAGTTGAGCTTGCATTTAGTATATAATCTATGACGAAATCTGAACTTTTGTGAGAAGAGAGTAAGGAAAAACATTTTTATGTGTAGTTAAGTTTCTAAAAGCATTTAAATATATTTTATATATTACATTATTGTATATTATATTGTCGTGTCACTTTGCAAATTTCGTGGCAAGGTGTTTCATATTTTAATGTAATTTATTTCCTCCGCGCGAAGCTGCGTTTGTATCTTAGCTCGAAAAATGATGATGACATTTCTTTTGGATTCTTCGAATACCAGATCGCCTGTTTATAACATTTATAAACAAAAATACAAGTTGTGTGTTGAAATAATTAAACAATTTCTTTATTCTCATCCGGCGAGAAACCTGTGCCTCTTCCGAAAGAGATACACGATGGGAGATGATTTGAATTCTCGCGGAATTTGAATCTTTCGACGTGTCACGTGACGTGTCCTAGGCGTCATATGACGCATTTCAAGCGATTTGCGTTGGTCATTAGTTTTTTCGTACTTCGCGGCCGAGCGGCGTCGATAGTGATTTTTATCTCGCGCAAAGGGCGCCGACTGTCCTTAATTCACGTGTCATACATTTGCATCGGATTACGTCATCACAGCTTCCCAATCGTATCACTCACGCGTCCGTTTCGCTTTGCAGATTCGCCCGAGAGAGCGAGCCGAGTTCGCGTTCGAGAACGAAGAGGTTAGTGCTCGCGGACTCGATGGCGCCAAGTTTGTACCGATGATCGCCGGTGACGAACGCACAGGCGGATTTGAATCTTCGTCGAAAAACAGTGAAGAGACGAAACGAAGGAGTCTGAAATATTCGCCAACGTGATTTCTTCATGGTATAACGAAAGATTGAATTCGCGACATCACGGAAGTAACGGTGAGTAGAACGTTTCGAAACTTGAAATTCAAACTTATGATGATAAGAAGGTAAAATGTAACAACGAAAAATTAGTTGTGCACATGCAAATGTATTATTAAAAAATATAATTTTTGATGTATATGTTTTATTTTATATATATATATATACTACATATACATAATACATATTTACATATATGAAATTCATTTTATATATGATACTTCACACTCGTAATTTTTTTTTAAATACGAAAATTTATTCCTACAGCGAAATATCGTTCTAAAAATATTTTTCATTTAACAAATTTATTTTTGACAGATGCTAAACTTACATCTATAAAACTATTTTTTTTTTTAACAAAACTTTATATTTTTGAATATATTAATTAATATAATTCTTCATCCTCTACAAAAATCTATTAGAAAATTAGAAATTGTTAGAAGATATTTTATACAAAATATATAGTCTCGTGTGAAATATTCATTTTTCTATGATTTTATTTTAATATCTTTATATGTAAAATAATAAAAATAAATTAAAAAACAATGTAAAGAAAATACATAGGTGCTTTAAAAAAAAGATACTATTTGTAATCTACAATTACGTACTTTCTGCGATACGAAAATTAAAGCGCTTACAAGGAGAAAGTGAGGAAGGGAGGAAGGAAGTGTGAGGTTTCATAGTAAAATCAATAAATCTGTAACATTGGCTTTTGATTCACCCGTTTATTCACGCAAAACAAGAATAGACTTGGATATCCGTGTCGTTAATTGTACTCATTGTACACATCTTGTCCATATACATACAATATCGCGTGTCATACGCATCCACGAAATGCATATACGAAATGCATACACATTACATATTATATGTATATATATAATATAATTTTACGTTTAATTAGATAGGATACGATTTTCCTCAGCCCTTTCTCATCTTCGTTCTCAAATTTTCGCAGTCACGTGTGTGTGTGTAAATGCGCGTAGTGTGTATGAGTATATATGTACGAGTATTTTCTCTATGTATATTTCCAGGAGACGCGTGCATTACACCCGTCTGCCCGTCCCGTATTTGTGTGCATGTGTGTATATTTGTATATATGTGTGTGTGTTATGCGTACTCGGTTACTGCACGTAGGTAAAAATATCCCACGCGTCGTTGTCAACGTTTGCAATCGTGAACAAAAACTATCCAGCGAAAGTCGGTGTTTCTTGTAAAAAGTGTACACATATCGTCTGCTCACGTGTTGCACGTTCATTCATACCGGAAGGAAAGAGAACAGAAAAAAAGAGATAAGAAGAAGGAAAATGTATTCCGCAATCGTGCACGCATGCACGCACGCACGCACGCACGCCTGCTTTCCTGCGCGTATAAACGAGGGATGGATACTGAATCGCACGTAATCGCGACTCGCGCCGACAGGTGTGAAACAGGAAGTAGGTAGATTATCGTCTCTCGCAAACGAGTTCACAAATCTGTTTCGTTCGACCGACGTTAAACCCGTGAAAATCGTTCGCAATCGCGCATTATTATCCTCTTTCAGAGATTATTTATTTTAACGAGTTGAAATAATATTTATTCACAAGTGCAACTTTGTCGAAGCGCGATAAGACATCTGCGAAATTGAAAGATTTTGCATATTTTTTCAGATTTTTATTTTATGAAAATCCTACCGCTGCAATTGCGTTACAAGTCTTCGACGTAAACGAGTTCCATCTGTCAACGCTGTTGCGCGTAATTACATGCGATATTCGGACGATACTTTTGCGTTAATAAGAACGGTGATCTTCTGAAGACAGGCATGCTCGAGGATCAGGCCGGTTTATCGGAGGAAATATCTCGAAGTGCACGAATCAATTGTGAATTTTACATCTTAAATAAATAATATAAAAATCTTAGAATATAAAAAAATAATGCAAAATATCATGCTATCTAAATCTATTGTGATTAAGTAATACGAACATATGCCTCTTTCGAATATTATCTTTCTCTGGCAGACTATAAATAATAGGAATTTATTATTAACGCATCCTCTCCTTTCGTAGTGCACGACAAATGAATGCAAAATAGATGCAAATGAATGTATGTAAAACAGGTAATAAAGGAATGTATGACAGAGCAGTTATACAAATCTGAGCCTTGCCTCGAAATGTCCGAGTCCTCGAAGACCGTACCTGACGATCGCAGAGACGGAATGATTTCAATACTGATTTTGGAATGGTTCGTAATTCTCTCTCGATCGGAGTGGCGACAGATTGTCGCAAGGCACGGCGAGATTTTCGGGATGCACGTCTCTTCCAACCAAAAATTGACGCATACAGAAGAACCAATACTATCAGACTTTTTGGATCGGCGATTTCATCAACAATTCTCTTTAATCTTTAATTTTTATTTGATTAATCTTTCTCGTTTTCTTTCACTTTTCCGAGTTTTCTGAACTAGAACGATCCAAGCTTTGTTATATTTTAATCGATTTGACGTTTATTCTTCTTGTGATAGTATTTAGATAGAAATGAAAGATCAAAATCGTTAGATCACAATTCACCAACGTCGGCAAGATCAATCGTTCTTTAAAAAAAAAAAAAAAAAAAGAATATTTTAACAACTCTATCCAATCGAGATTCTATTCACTCGATGATACACCGCGAGACCGATTCCCCGTGTATCGCTCTTCTGTGACTCGTCTTGGTTTCTTCGCCGAGGACGAATAATCCATCTCTGATTGGACCGACTTTCGCCCGGGAATTTATTTTGCATATCGTACATTCGGGGGGGGTAATCATCCAATTGTACGTAGCTTTGAGGACGCACGTCCCTCCTACCCCGCCGCACCCGCGAATGCCGCTCTCTCGGTTAGATACGCGCGTTAATACTTTTGCTTCGCTTACGTGTCGCTTATGCATAACTTAAGAACGTGAAAAAATAAATAAATACTACGCGTCTTGCGCGCGACTTCGTCGTTCGGCGGGCCGCCGGATGAGCACGGAGGAAGAGACCGCGCACCGTCGAGAAACGCTCGCGACACATCGCTCGTACACGGCAAATAAGTTACAGGAAGACCTCCTTATCTATCTGCCAATCCCTCCAGTCTCTTTGACGAAGCTTTTGAGAATGTGCACGCGCGCGTATTCGACTCGCGTATAATCGAATACCGTTGGACACCATTGCCGGCGTTCTTTCCACCGTGCTGCACCCGGTGCGTTCACTCCGGCGAAAATGTCGTCGTACAAATCGCAATAATAATAACAACAATAATTCTACATTACGACATAATAATATTAATAATAATATGGTCGGCTTAACCGACCGGTGGATCTTCGATCTATTTTCCTTAACGTATGGTTTAAAGTTAAAATACTTAGCCGAATGTGAAAAATTTTGCCTCTCGAATACTCGCCAAATTCACACGTTTATTCTCATTTTTTTTTTTCGAATGCCTAAAGACGTTAACGTACACATATATATATATATATATCAGCGTTATACGCGATATATCGATCACCGACACTCGTCTATCTCTGTATAAACGGCTGAAGGCTCCAATCGTTAACTAAACAACAAACGGATGAAGAATGGCAATAATAATAATAATAAAAATATAATCGTGACATAATAGTAATCGAATAATATAATAATAATAATAATAATAATAATAATAATAGATTACCGTTACTACTACTATAGTGATGAATGATGACGATTAATAATTAATGATTAATCGAATAAAAACGAGTGGCGTGGTGCGCGAGAGCGCAGATATTTTATCGACTAGAATTCGTATAGATTCGCTGTGTGTGTTTATTCGTATGGCTCAATCGTACCGTCTCGCTCCCCGTGGCTCATTTATTTAGTGTATTATTGTGTAACTTCGTTCCCTTCATCGTGTTCAAAGCAACGACGCGACTCACCGCGAAGAGGTGCTCTGTCCCTCCCCTCTTCCTCCTTCTCCCTTCGAATTCTCTCAACTGTACTCTCATCGCACCGCGAGTACTCGCTGATATTAGAATAGAACGACGTTCACGACGTCCCTTTCGTGGCTCGGTGGAAACACTGAAAACCGTCTCGTGTCAGCAGACGAATCGCACGTTGCAGATGCGAGTCTTCCTGAACCCTCACAGGTAAGTACTACCGTATCGTATTCTCCGGATCTTCCAGACGTCGACGACCGAATTTATTCGGAAAGATCCTGATAATCTCTTTGAGATTCAGAAATCGATACGCGCGGTTCGGTCAGCAACATTTTCCAATGCGACGTCTGGGGGCCGTTCCTCCCCATCTGTTCTTTCTCCAGGTGAAGAACGGTATCGAATTAAATCTTGTAAAGCTCCCTTGTAAAGACCCCTCGAAGCTCGCGGAACGACAATGATCAAAGCGTCGAGGCCCTCTTTCTCTCTCTCTCTCTC